TTTCTTTCTTTCTTTCTTTCTTTCTTTCTTTCTTTCTCTCCCTTCTTTCTTTCTTTCTTCCTTCCATCCTTTCTATTATGGAACACTTTCAAACATCACCTACTGTTTTTTTCGCTTCCTATTTTTTTGTCATTTCAATAATTCATATTATCTTGGTTTTTCTTTATGATCTCTAGGGCTTGTATGAGTGCATAACCATGGGAAAAAGGTCCTGTGTCGACTTGATCCTGTCCCAACAAAACTTCTCCCACTCTAAACTACATTCGATATGAAGAAAACACATGTCCACATCTGCTACAAATCCTTCCAACTTCAGCAGGTGGTAAATAGATATATAATATAAATAATACAGTTTTCGTACGGCGACCAAGCAACAAAACAGATTCATTAATCAAACGAAGAATTTTACCCTAGGTTTCTTCAGGGTAAGGTGTATAATTTTTCTCTGTAAAAATATTGGTACAACTTGTTATTTTTTCCTATAATTTGTGGTGTTTTTATTTTTTTGGTATTTTAGCATGTTGAGACCGGTTGTACGAGCCTGGATAGCGCTACCCGATAGATAAATTTTATCCAGTGGATAAATGTATTAGATAACAGCATCGACTTATCCACTGGATAAGGATTTATCCGCTGGATAGGGCTATCCACTCTTTGTACGACCGGGCCCTGAGGTTCATTCTGGAAAAACTAGAATTACATTCTTAAGAATCGTTAAAAAAAACACGAGGAAAAATCGCCAAAAAACCTTACGGATTTTGGAAAACAACTATACTAATCAACAAAAGTAAATAGTGTACAAATCCTGCTGAATTTACCAATCCCTTTACATAACTAATGACAGCTAAGGTCAGAGTTTCTATAGTGTAACCATGGAAACATTAGATTATTCGTATTGAGTTTCATTTTGGTCGTCGTGAAGAAAATTCATTACCAAAATTCTCGAACAGAGTAATTTCCTGCCTGAAAATTAATTCGATTTTCCCCCAAAAGGTAAGTTTGCTATACGATATTAATCTAAGATGGTGTTTTATGTTTAGTGAATTTAATTGCAGTATAGATTTATGAAGGATTGTTTGTGTAGATTTACAGACTCAAGCAGCTCTATTGTCTGGGATAATCTGCTGGGTTTAGATTGTGAAGATTTATTCGCTTTAGGTAAAACACATGGACATTTTATAATCCGATAAGAGGTTAGAAGAAGCACGTATCTGTTGTGTTTTTGTCGCTTTAAAGACCTTGTTTTGCCAACGCTAAGTTATAAGGCACACGAATTGTCGGGGAATTGTCCCGTTTAATCGACTCGAAAAGCAACAGGGCCGTCGTGTATTAAACAGACAGAAGTCTTATTTATTGACAACGAGTTTTGAAAAAGGTAAGTTGTTGAAGTAATTACGAAAAATTGCTCTTAACTTTAGGAGGTTCTTTACAGTAAGTGACTAGAAAACCTCTATTCAGCTCGCTAGTGGAACAGTGGATGAAAACAGTGACCTCTTAGCTACGAAAATCATCATATYGTTTGACACCTAAACGCCGGACATTTGGGTGCTTCTCTGAAGCTGAATGTCAAAGAAACGATAAATATCCCCTCTGAAACTGGTGTTTCTCTAACGAGCGAATATTTAACGAAGTATTTATCAATACCAAGGACAGTTGGGTATAGCATTCGTTTTATTTTTGGCAATCTGGCGTTTGTACTGTATGTTAATGATATTTACATACAGCTGGCAAAATAAACAATATTTTTTCAAACGATTAAATTTATGTTTTCTTGGATTATGATAATCGYATAAACTGTTACAAGAAAATGTGCTCTGCTACCGACTTGCTTTTGATGTTTGTTTTGTATTTTCATTTATATTTTTTCACGGAAATGAAAACCCTTGTGAAATAAAACTTTCAAACGAATACAATCTAAAGGACGGATATTGTAACGAAATGAAATGCAGAGAGAGAAAGAGAGAGGGAAGACAGACAGACAAACAGACAGACAATAATATTTCTTGTTTTTAAATTTCCATTTCAGTTTGTCGATATGAGGTAACCGGAAGTCAAATGAATGGAAAACCAAGACCTCGCACTTCCGGTGCGCAACGACCTCCCAGGTCCTCTCGGACGACTCTTACTGCAAAAGACCACAGGCCTGGGTCTAGTAAAACTCAGAGGGACCATGTATCGTCAATACCTATAGATACTAAATATCTAAAGAAAGAATTCAGAATGACTGTACCCAGGCCCCGTTATGCCTACTTTACACTCGTCATGTGCGGCGATGAGTATGTTAAGGGGGCTCTAACCCTCGCCTGGTCACTAAGGCAACAAAACACTAAACATGAACTGGTAGTCATGGTAACATCTGACGTCAGTGTAGAGGCACTTAAATTGCTGCGTAAGGTTTTTAATCGTGTTCTTAGAGTAGGGTATATCAAGACTAAAGTTAAGAGCACCTTGCGAGGGAAGGCATATAGAGATGAGAATCAGTGGATCAACTATAGTCTCACTAAAGCAAGAATGCTAAAGTACTCTGAATATGATAAGGTCATGTGGATGGATGCTGACTCCCTTGTCATGCAGAATATCGACCATCTATTTGATCTACCAGCTCCTGCTGGGATATGCTCCAGTATAAAGGACCACGACTACTGGCATGAGAAACACATATCAGAAGACTTGGTTCAGAGTTCTATTGAGAACAACTATGGGGTACATGGGTGTGTCATGCTACTTGAACCAAGACTTGATCACTATTTTATGGCTAGTTCACAGCCGGTTATAGGGGATAAAAAAACCTTCATGGGACCTGATGAGTTCTTTTTTACTGAGCTATACAAGAGCAGGTGGCATCATATTCATGTTAGGTATGGTTGTACTAGGTGGCATATGGAGAGGCTAGGTGCGGCACCTCATGTTATACATTATGGTGGGGCTAAACCCTGGGAAGATGGAGACAGAATACAAGAATGGGACGGTTTGTGGCACTGGAGAGCTGCAGCAGATGAAATGTGTAGAGAAAGACCTGCTTTCTCTGTGCTTTTCAAGAGAGAAAGACCTAAAAGTACTCTAAGCTTGCTGCGATTGATCACAGATCAGTCTTGAACTGGCAAGGCGTGATATGAAATATCAGATGTGAAATYACTCTTTTTCAAAGATGTAATAACAGAGCAGATAAATAGAAGTGAGATTGAGGATTAGTCTTGATGTTCACACAGATAATATTAAAGGCAGTCAGACAATATTAATAAATCCTAGATCAGATAATCAGGAGATAGATCAAGGATCAGTCTTAACAGAGATAATATTAATAGGTCTCACATCTGAATGTAGGTCTTATCAGATAATATTAATATATCATAGATCAGAAGTTAGATCAAAGATCAGTAATGATTCTAACACAGATAATATTAATAGAGATAATAATAGGTCACAGATCTGAATTAGATCTTAGAGATAATATTAATAAATTATAGATCAGAAGTTAGATCAAGGACCAGTCATGATTCTAATACAGATAATATTAATAGCTCACAGATGAGAATGTAGTTCTTATCAGATAATATCAATAAATCCTAGATCAGATAATCATAAGATAGATCAAGGATCATTCTTGATTCTAACAGTTATGATATTAATAGGTCACAGATCTGAATGTAGATCTTATTAGATAAAATAATGGATCAAACTTTCAATTTACATCAATGAGTCTAGATATTTATATGAATAAAAACAAAATAATTGCATTCAACAATATTTTAATATAGTCTTTATATTTTTCCTCTTCCTCTACATAAATATATACTTTTTCAATTTAACAACATTTTAGAAATGATTTTATGTYGCTGAGGGTTTTAAGGTTTTTCTATTAGGATTAGTGTCTTTACATGTAGTTAATGGAGGAGTTACATACCTTAGGTAGTCATTCTTTCTCTGGGTTACCTGTCTTATTCTCTAATAGAGGAAGCCCATGAAAGAATATAACCTTCACAAGTACTTTTCATTGGCAAGTTTCATATCGTGGGACGACTGGGTTGAAACGGAACAATTGTCTAAACAATGCCATGGATATCTCCTTTTTTTTAGTGACTTTCGTTTATTGGGTCAAAATCAGGCTACATTTGTCAAGCTCAGTGGTATTATGCAACTAAAAACAACTGTGACTAAATATATTCCAATCTGGTCAACAGTTATCTGGTCTCAACAGTCCTACCATTCGATATGAAGCTTGACAATGGTCACATAATGTTTCTTCATGTTTTCAGAAAATAAAATATTTTCTTGGATCAGGGTTCCTGTGTTGTTTAATTTGCCACAGGAAGCCCGTCCAAGTACAATTATGAGGTGAGTTTATAAGGTACTTTCTAGATCATAAGTTATTGTTTTGGAGTCAAGCCGTTACAATGTTAAAATGGTGTTACAAGAGTTAGATGATCAATCTTACAACAGCTATCAACAAGAGTTAGATGATCAATTTTACGACAGCTTCAAACAATATTATGATTACAAAGTTAGAACTCAAAAGTTAAGGTCTGAAGCAGGTTATCACTATAGTTTGATGGAGAGAGGTGACAGGCGGCAGGTATGTCTAGATCCTGGTCAACTGCTGCCAGATGTGAGCAGGAAAAAAGTCTTCCACTTTCTGAATGATGAGAGTGAATGGAGCAGAGATCCACACAAGACACTAGGTTCAAAAACACACAAATACATCAGCAACCGAGAGTAAAGAGATGAACAAACAGAAATTCTTCAACGCATGAACTAGTCTTGCAAGACAAAATATTGTCAACTGAAAGTTGTACTGCTTACTTAGATTTTGGTTGCTATGGTAATATTTTCTTAGGCCTTGGTTACGATGCATTTATGATGATCTTCTTGGTTTCTGGTTGCAAAGGCCTTGTTTACTGATGCCTTGGTTGCCAATTTAAGGTCCAATTTGCCATCAACAATGCATTGGATTCCTTGGCTTTGAATACCAAAGCACCTGGCTTTGAACACCAAAGCACCAAAGTTGCCATGGCAATAGCCACTAGAGCACTGGCTGCCATGCCATTAGTCACCAGAGCACTGGTTGTCATAGCATTAATTACCAAGGCACTAGTTACCATGGTAATAACTACCAAGGCACTGGTCACTACAGCAGTGCTTATTGCATGCCAATAGCTGCAATACCTTGGTTGCTGTAACACTATTTTCGAGACGTTTAAAGCATTAAAAAATATATTTCTAATGTACTTACAGTACGTGCCAGGTTAGCCATTGGTTCTGGGAATTGGTGCGTAAGAAGAGCAAGAATGGCAGTAAAGGAACACAAGCCAGCAGTAAAGAGAATGAAGAATGGTAGTTCCTTCTTGGGATACACTGATAGCACATGATGACCTGTTGCCACATGATAATAGGATCCTGTCAAAAACATGCTTATTCAATTGGAAAATTTACGAAGATAATACTAACTTGGCATAAGTTCCCTGTCCGCATTCTCAGTGCATCCTGGGTAAGGATGAAACAGATGACCTTTTTCAAGAGGGTATGGTACGAGACGGAATGCTGCAAGACAATGAAACTATTATAAATATTATTATTATAAGACTATCATTATCAAGACTGTTAAAGGCTGCAACCTTTTTGCAACTTGAAATGCAATGTCCAGAAAAGAAAATCCCTGCAAGATAGCATAGCTTATCAGAAGTGCTCTATATAAGAACCTCCCATTATTAAAATATGCAATACTGATGCAAGTCCACGGGACATGCTCAAGTTCAACATATAACACGAAGATTGAACAGGGTTTGAGATAATGTCTCCATTGTATAACATTTCAATACTTGAAGTTGAATTCTGACATTTCTGCTCAGGATTCATGAAGTGTGATTAGTTCTGCGGAGGATGTGACTTACTTCCTTCCCAAGTGCAATGAAGTAGGTTGGTAGCTCCCTCTACTCTTTTCCAGTGAGGAAGATGAAAGAATGCATAAGCGACGGCTTCACTGTCACCTCTTTTTAGAATATGCTCAGGTGGTAATACAAGGCTTTTTTGCTCTAAAAGATACTGAAAATCATTTGAAAAATTAGTAAAATAATTTACAAAAGAAAACAACCATGTGAACATGTTGTGTGGAGTAGAGTGCAAACAATATATCCGTGAAACTTTAGTAGTACTAAATAGCACGATTTCATGCAAATTCCATTGTTTTCTATTGTTTAATTAGCACTATTTTGTACTATTTAGTAATTAGTGTTTCATGGATTAATTGTTTGCACTCTAGACCTTTCTCAAATTTGCAAAATACTACTGTGTTTCTGTTTTACAGACTCATTTACTCAGGATTAGATTCATTTTAATGTCAAAATATTAACAAATATCAATGGTAAAGTAATGAATGCACGACTTCAACGATACAAACACTTTGAATTTACACGGACCTTAACTGGAACATGAATGTTTTGCACAAAATCTGTGAAAATGAATCTGTAGTCATGGAACACAGTGGTATTTTATGAATTCGAAAAAGCTCTAAAATTTGATTATCAAGTTTGCAGGGATTTGCAGAACACAAGAGAAGTGTTAGAAACAGCTCCATGTACACACAGCACAGCAAATATATTTCGTTTATGGAATACAACTTAGAATAGCTGTTATTTTAGAAAGGAATGTCAAAATTAAAAGTGTGCTGGAGTGCGGTGTGCTCTCATACAGCATGCACCACCAAAAAATCAGAAAAAGAATTCTTATGACAGTTATTCTATTAATGACAAACATAGTAAAAGCAACACCAATTAATAATCAACATCACAGTATAATTATCATCATTCATCATTAAGAACAACTGCAGCAACTACAGCAAAAGCAGATTGTTGAAATGACTAACAAATCAATAAAAAAAGAATATTTATGGTAGTTATTTTATAAATATTGAAAATAGTACAAGCAACAGCAGCAACTAAAGCAAGAGCAGATAAAGCAAATCAGAAAAAGAATATTCATGACAGTTATTTTATAAATAATGAAAATAGTACAAGCAACAGCAGCAACTAAAGCAAGAGCAGACAGTTGCAATACCAGTGGGGTTGGTAGTACCTTAGGTACGTGGGGGTTGAACTCAACAGCCCTGTGGATAGCTTCTACTGCCGCCATCTCTGCAGGGCTTAACCCTCTTTTAGCTGCTATTTCAGGAGAAAACCTGTTGACAGAAAATATAAATACAAATATTTTAAGACACAGCTTTAAAAGAACTACATCATATCATCAACAAAAAATACAACTTTTTACAGAGTCATCTAACAGGTCATTTGCATCATGCAATCCTTTACTACTACTACTACCAAAATTCCTTGCAGACCTAATTTTGCTCAGTTAATTAGCACTAATTGTCTTACTATTCGCGTGAGTGAATAAAAATTTATATTAAAATGATAGCATTACCCAAACAGCACCTTGCTGCGACAACACAAATGAGATTATTAACATGACAAATCTAGCTTCTTTTTTCTGTTGGTTAATATTGATTTGACAGCCATGATGTAGTGCAGGGGAATTTACTATAGGTTACTTACTTGTCACAGACAGCTCTTGCTTTGAGTAAGGCTGCTGTGTAACAGATTGTAGCTGACTTGGGTAGCGCTATATCTAGAAACAGGCATTAGGTATTTGTTATTGTAATAACACTTAACACGCAGTATCATAATCATCATG